TGCGCTGCCGAATCTGAGGAAGGTGGTAACAAAGCAGCAATACAGGAATTGCACACTAACAAAAGGGGAAATATTACTAACAGCTGATCTAACAGTGCCGTGTGGTGAGGGGATCAATGGAAACAAAGATGTTAGAGCTTCACAGAGCATTTCACATCTGTGTTTGTACTCTGTTTTTGCTTTGCTGATGTCCTTTATGCTGCTGTCTTGAACTGTCGGGTAAAAGCAGCAGTGATATGTTTACTGAAGGTTTAATGTGTATGTGGCGAGTCCAACAGCTTCAAACCCCACAGCATTACATAATGCATATGAATATAGCCGTGTCCTTTTATGACCTCTTTCTGTGTGTTTTCTTTCTTTTTATCTCTTATTAGCAGATGCTGTAAATGTCACTTGAGCCTTCAAAGTTTGAACCTATGACAGCGCATCACTTTTTCCATTTCCTGTTTGTGTAATTCCAGAGAATCACTCTTGTATAAAGAGAGAAAACTCTGTTAACAAATTGAGCACCCAACATTACAGCCGTCTGTGACTTTAGCTGTGGATGTGCACCATGTAAAAACACACTCTACTTCGTTCTTATTAAGCAGTTGGACTTGAAGATGACCACATAAATGATAACACGGTGGTGGGATGGTGTGGGTCTTTATGTGCTGTAAATGCTTTGTGGAAAGGCTTCTCTAAGCTTGGGTCATGGCTTCTCTGAATCCAGTGCTTTTTTTTGTTTTGTTTTTTGAACAGTTGTCTGCTTTGTTCGCAGTGCCTGAAAACGAAGGATTGTCAGGATGATGTCCACAGCAGCTTTGCGCAGTTGCTGAGTGTGCTCAACAAGTCAGATGCTCCATATTCTCTCAGCGTTGCCAACAGACTGTATGGGGAGCAGTCCTACCAGTTTGTTGAGGTGTGTGTGTGTCTCTGTTCGTGTGGCTTGTTTTTTTTTCCTAAAGAATGAGAGAAATCTTTAAGCTGTGGAGGAAAGAATGAGGTAGTTGATTAGGCAGTAAAATCCCACAGAGCTAATAGGTTATTTTGTTTGGGTGTTCAGACTTTATAAGTGTGTCATTAACTGATTTCAGGATTTCTTGGGAAAAACCAAGAAGCATTACAATGCTGAGCTGGAGGCCGTGGACTTCATCAAAAGCTTCGATGCTGCCAGGCTCAACATCAACAGCTGGGTGGAGAAGACAACACAAGGTGGGTAACACACTAAACATGTCCACCTTCCACTGATATGAAGTTAGAAGTTGTAATGAAAAAACTTTTATAGTATTAGTGTGTTGGTTGGTAGTCCTGCAGAACTGTTCTTCTTCGAGATGTTAGTAGAGTATTTATTACATACGTCTGTGTCGCTGCTTCACACGTGTCAACGTATCCTTCAGGTAAAATTAAGGATTTGCTGGCTCAGGGTGTTTTGGACCCCATGACCAGGCTGGTGTTGGTCAATGCCATCTACTTTAAGGGCCTCTGGAACAAGCAGTTTAAGCAGGATCAAACACAAGATGCTCAGTTTCGAGTCAACAAGGTAATACAGCAGCTGCATGAATACTGCTGATTTTATTTTTTATATATAATATATCCTGACAGTGTTTGTGGTAAGGGTCTTTTTTTTTCTTCTTTTTTTTAAGATCACATGGTGTTCAGTCACATTCTTAGCGGCACCTCTCGATCAGATATTTCTGTTAGCTGTGATGAAACACAGTAAAAAACACATTAGACTTTGCTCAGAGTGATAAAAAGTCATTATGCTTCGACTGGCTGACAAAATCCTAGAACTGCATGAAGTGATGTTAAACCGTCTCATGACTTAAAGAGAGCAAATCTAACTCAAGAACAAGGCTTGTTATATCTCAGCCTTTCCAGCTGTTATTATTAACTTGCCAGCAAACAGTTGGAAATCTAGAAGAAGTGGGCTGGCAGTGGCAGTGGTTTGCTCTTCACCTGATGAGTGAAAGTCACACTCTCACTGCTGTTTGTATTTCTCGAGTAGCTCAACAAGCCTTAAAGAAACAACTATTTTTAACATTATTTATTTGCAAGCCAATGATTTAAAACTTCACTTTTTCTCCTCGAGCAGGTTCGCTTCTAACTGCGGTTGCTCTCATACACTTCTGTATACACTCAACACCAATTTCAGGTTGAACTAGTACACTCGTGACAAAGTAAAAGATTTCAGCTGGTGATGTTTCACATGTTATTTTTTTCATATTTCAGAATGACACTAAGCCAGTGAAGATGATGTACCAAAAGTCTAAGTTCCCTTTGACCTTCATCCATGAAGTCAACTGTCAGGTAATTTGCAGTAAATCAGTCAGTATGGCCGGCAACCCATCACCTGTTAACTTGGCAGCATTTAAAATAGTTTGATTTGAGAGAGTGACACACACACACAACCATAATGTTGTCTGGTTGGCAGCTCAGGCTGTTTCAAAACCTTGGTGGGTTCAGCTTTAGTGGTTAAGTCATGTGGACTAATGCTCTCTGCATCATCATGGATGCTGGTTTGTGAACTGCACATACAAGATGGTTAATCGTTTTCCACTTCTCCTCAGTCCAAGGAAGGTAGAGAATAAAGTTGGATTTGCAGAAATGCAGGAATGAACTGTATTTACTGCCAACGTTGGTTTGAAGTCTTCCAGAGCCTGTGAACTTGTTTTTCTTGCAAAATCATGTCAGTTTTGTAACATAGTGCAATCTGACGAGCCAAAGATTGTCGCCAACATCAATTTGTTTGTTTGTTTTTACCCTTGACTCTTGTGCACAGGGATTTTAGTGCCTTTTGAAAAGTATTTAATGGTGTTGTTTTTTTGTTTTGTTTTTTTGTTTTTTTTTGTTTTTGTTTCTTTTTTCTTTTTAACACCACACTGTTGTAAGCTTAATGGTCTACAAGTTATTTTAGTGCTATGTTGCTCCTGTCCCAGCTTTCTGGATTTGTTTTTGTATAAGTTATTGTATTACACGGCATTGCATGTTAACATTTTTGGAAGCAGGTTATAATAAACTAAGATGATTAAGTCTAACAGTTGCATAGCCACTATTATATATTCACGCTAATGTTTGAAACCTGTGCGACAGATCATCGAGTTGCCTTACAAAGGGAATGAGCTCAGCATGGTCGTCTTTCTGCCCCAAAATATCGAGGACGGCACAACGGGTCTGGAGAAGGTATAACAAGCACACTTGGATAATGAAACCTATGAAATACATAAACAGTGGATGATTTTTTTTATTTTTATTTTTTCCCCATCTCTAGCTGGAGAAGGAGCTGACCTTTGAGAAATTTGTGGAGTGGACTAATCCCAATATGATGGATGAAATTGAGGTCACGGTGGGCCTGCCTCGATTCAAGCTAGAGGAGAATTACGACATGAAGACTGTCCTGGTCAGCATGGGCATGGTGGATGCCTTTGACATGCAAAAGAGTGACTTCTCTGGTATGAAGTATTCTTGGAACATGCCGCACAATAAAACGGGAGCCCAAAACATGAACGGACTGCTGCTGTTCTCTTAAATCACTGTAATTTCCATCACCTCCATATTCTACATAAATCAAATATGTTATTTTGCTTTGTTTTGTGACAGGCATGTCTCCTGCCAATGACCTGGTGCTGTCCAAAGTCGTGCACAAGGCTTTCGTGGAGGTCAACGAGGAGGGAACGGAGGCTGCCGCTGCCACCGCTGCTATCATGATGCTGCGCTGCGCCAGGATTCCAGCCAGATTCATCGCCGACCACCCCTTCCTCTTCTTCATCAGGCACAACCCTTCCTCGAGCATCCTCTTCGCTGGCCGATACAGTTCCCCCGTGTGAGCGCGTTTAGAGTGGTGTTTCTCAGCTGGAGGGAGGTTACAACATGACTGGTGTAAAATCGAATTTGGTGTTGTTGCTGAGAGCTCCTGCTCAAGAGTTTCATTATGCTAATCTCACCCTATGTTCCTGGCTTGTATATCAACACCACCAGGATGAGGAATTAAAAATGACGGTGTGTAATTTTTATAAAAAATTTCACCCCTTGTTTGTGTCTCTTCTCTGAATACTGTCATCTTGCACTGTTTAACCTAATTTGATCTTTTGATTTATGTCGTAATGCACGTATGGCCCTGTTTGCTGCAGTCATATACCCTATTTTATCTATCTTGAAGACTAGATTGTTATCATATGCCTTACACCTTAGGAAAAAGTTTACAATGTGCCTCTATTAACCTGCTGTACACCAGCTGCACCTTTTTTGGTTAAAAAAATGTGCTATGCATTTTATCTGAAAACATGCAATATCATACTTAGCTTAGCCAAAGATAATAATTTTAACAGTGTAATACATTTTATATGGAATTATAAAATGCATATAATAATTGGAGAATTTATAAAAACGTACATAAATGCTTGAACTGGCATTGAGTCCAGGTCATTTTTATGTATCCCTTGACTTACATGTGGAATAAAGTGTGTGGTTTGCAACTGCTCCATGTTTAAAATGCCTTTTACTCACATTTTCCTTTACCTGGTTCAGCCAAGTGTTATAGGATGGGGTTTCTAATGCTGTTTAACCATTTAATGTAGAATTTTTGGTATTACACTTGTCACCGTCAGTCACTCTAACATCATATTAGTCCTTTCAAATGTTTAGGGGGGGCATTTTGCCATTGTTTTGTTCCAGTAGGAAAAAAGGAGACTTAAAGCAGTTTCGAATTGGCCACTGGATTACTTTCTACACTTCTGTTAAAAAATAAAAAATATTACCTATGTAACCAACTGAAACAAAAGTTGTATCAGCCAAGCCTTGGGCAGTAACTTTCAATCCTCAAACAAGTTATTCATTTTGTTTAAATGCAATATAATACTTATCTTAGCCAAAGAGAGTAATAATAATAATAACTGTTAAAAATAGCTTCATAATTTCCAATTTTAAATAGCAGTCCCACTCCAACACAGTAGGTGGTGCTATTGCATTAGCTGTGCTCACTGAAGCCCTTTGTTGAATTTATACGAAGAAGACAATTTTGCTAATGCCACTTCCGGATAACTTCCGTGTTGTCATATTTGAAATTGGGGCATTCAAATGGGATTAATACTCGCTAGTATTAATGTTTGATAAGTCCGTAAACTAAATGGAAAGGATATGGACGCGAAGTAACGTTAAACATAGAAAAATAGCCAACGTAGCTCTCAGTCCTACCTGCTAATCACTCCGTGGCTGGTGATGGAGAAGCTAATATCTAAACTCACTGAAAAGCATTTCCTTTTCACGGCTTCCTTCGTTATAAGACTGGCTTTGGTCGCTTATGGAGACTACCAGGACAGGACAATGGCGGTGAAGTACACTGACATTGACTACCATGTGTTCACAGATGCTGCGAGGTTCATTACTGAGGTAACAACTGTCTCAAAACTGAATGTCCTGCTGATATAACGCTGACAATGAAAAATAGTGAGAAGCACCAGTTGTATTAGGGTGGTAACATTACTTAATACTGAGCTAAATGGAGAATTTATGAACTAGGATTTACCTGGAATTGAAGCTGTTAGGTCACCAAACCAAAGCTTAGTATATTCAGTTCAATGCAGGTTTATTTTTATAACGTCAAATCGTAACAGGATTCCCCTCAATGTGGTATAAAGCGCAGTTATTCGGGAGAAAACAAACAACTCCCCAAAGCAAGCACTTGGAGACTGTGGGAAGAAAAAAAATCCCGTTTGACAGGAAGAAGCCTCCGACAGAGCTAGGCTAGAGAGTAGCTCTATGGCACAAGATCGGTGGAAGGAGAAAAGAAAAATATTAAGACACACACACATCAACGAGAATGCCTGACTTTTAAGTGAAGTTCAGACAGTTTTGGACACCTGGATATTTAACACATGAAGTTAGTTGGAGTTGTATCAAATACAGCCAATTTATGGGGTTGTTGTTTAACTGCAGATGCAGAGAGTGAAACATAAAAATATATTATTTTTATGTTAGGATATTTTTTGTAGTGAGGTCCTTATTACATTTCTATGTTAACAAAATAAGCTATGTTTAAGATATGATATTTATTCTAGCACTTTAAGAATGGTGTATGAAACCGTCAACAGAAGACAAAATTTCTGTCAGGCTTTTGGATGAAATGGCTGTTTTAGCTGGTTATCATATATAACCCCTTTATTTAACCTAAATTCAGCATTTTCATGTGGGGAATTCCTTTTACAGGGCGAGTCCCCATACAACAGGTCAACCTACCGTTACACTCCTCTGCTGGCCTGGCTTCTCACCCCAAACATCTATCTTAACATGGTTTTTGGAAAGATCCTCTTCATTGTATGCGATGTGCTGTCAGGACTGCTCATCTACAAAGTCCTCTGCCTGCGAGGTCTAAGAGCTGAGGTTTGTGACTGGCACTCTTTCATCATGTCTCTCTCTTTTTTTTTTTTTTTAATTAGATGAGCTATGGGGGGGGGTATTTTTTTTCTTTTTCTTTTTTTTACAGATAAAAATACAAAAATACATTTTTGCTTGTTTATGTTCAGACTGCACGCTGTGTTTCTTCTTTGTGGCTTCTCAACCCGTTGCCCATGGGCGTGTCCAGCCGAGGGAATGCTGAGTCAATCCTGGCAGCTCTGGTGCTGGGGACTCTGCTCTGCATGGAACGCAGAGGTGTGGGTTAAATATATCAGCATTAATTTGATCATGTGTTTTCGCAGCTTCTGTGTTTATTGGCTCCTTTTGTTTTCTTCCAGCTCAGCGTCTGACCTGGGCAGCGCTGCTGTATGGTTTATCGGTTCATATGAAGATCTACCCTGTTACGTATGCTCTGCCCATTGCCCTGACCCTTCGCACAGCTGAAATCAGGGTAGATGAAGCCAAAAAGGTCTCAAGATTCAAGAAGCTTGTCGGCTTTTTTGTTGGTTTCTTCAACCAAGATCTGCTCCTATTTGCAAGTGTGGCTGGCGGAGTCTTCTTTACACTCACAGCACTCTTCTATTACATGTGAGATGGACACCACAAACCGTTTTCATGATTTAGAAATGACTGTTCTATTACTACAACTAATGCTATTGGAATTAGCATTAATGGTTAATATTCAGATGCCATAAAAATTACTTTGAAGATGATAAACTGTTGTTTAGGAATGACTTTCAACAATGCTAAGTACTGTTTTTGATTTGACTTAATGCTAGCCTCTTGTGACCCATTATTTGAACCAACACTCTTACTCACACGTGTGTCCTCTCGTACAAACGCAGGTATGGTTGGCAGTTTCTTTATGAGACCTATTTGTACCATCTGACCAGAAGGGACATCAGACACAACTTCTCTCCATACTTCTACATGCTCTACCTTACTGCAGGTATTTATCCATCCAACCATTCACGCCTGTATTGTGTAGCATGTGAAATGATGAAGTTTGAAGGCAATAAAATGCTTGTTAAATCTGATTTATAGGTGTGTTGAGTTATTTTCCTTTGTCTTTTGTGTTATACTGAGCAAACGTACAGCGGGAAATACAGCTTTATTTATTTATTTATTTTTTAAATGAGCACATTTCTTTCGGCCTTGCAGAGAGTACGTGGAGCCAGTGGCTAGGCTTGGCAGCATTCCTGCCGCAGTTTGCCCTGCTGTTGGTAACATCATGGATGTATTACAAAGACCTGGCCTTCTGCTGTTTCCTGCACACAGCCATTTTTGTTACCTTCAACAAAGTGTGCACTTCTCAGGTACATACCTAACATAATTTCACTTTGTTCCTCCTGTCCTAGACATAACACACAGACTTTACAAATTTAACAATGTTTCTTGTAATCCTTTCACAGTACTTCCTCTGGTACCTGTGCTTACTTCCTCTGGTCATCCCTAACCTGAGTCTGACAGTAAAACAAGGGCTGGGACTACTGCTCCTCTGGTTTGCTGGACAGGTAATTAAGTTAAGCACATTTAAAATTACAGTTAAATATGAATTCAGATATACATTTGTTAATGTAATCAGATTTCATACCATAGACTGAATCTATGGGCTCTCCATTCAAAATCCCAGACTAGTAGTTTAATATTCTAATTTTAGTGTTTTAAATTCTAATATTAGTGTTTTGTAGCCAGAAGTGACCATATTTGTACAAGAGGGAGGATTGTTACACTATTAGCTAACACCTTGGTTAGCAAGGTGCATTCATGGAGTGTACAGGTGCATTGCACAGACACAGATACCGTCTGACGAGTGCTTACACACTAGAAAAATACTACAGTTTTACTCACCACTTAGTGTCCCTTACCACTCACTACAATCAACTACACAGCAAGACAAAATTTTGGTTAGCTACAGCTTGACAACTAGCCACGGAAATAAAATTTTTAAGCCTCAGAACGGCTTGATAGGATGAGCCTTGTACAAATTCACCCACCTGTAGTTTTCACAAAGGGTAAAACTGTCTACAAGGATTTTTTTTGTGCCAGAATGAAAGCAGAAAACTGTGTTTCTGCCTTAAACTTGTGCGTTTTAATATGTAGCTCTAAGAGGATTGACTAATGTTTAGAGCTAGCCTCAAGTGGTCACTATTTTGTAGCACCTCCTAGTTGGCGGTGTTTTCAGAGCCCTAAAGTTTGTTTTCTTGATTGTGATCTTGATCATGCTGAGTTGAAAGTTATACGAGTGATAGGATACATAGAACTGAAGTCATCTGGCAATGTTTTTAAAATAAACTGTCATATTTTTCTCCCCTAAACAGGCCATCTGGTTGGGCCCAGCCTACTTCCTGGAGTTTGAAGGCTACAACACCTTCTTATGGATCTGGCTAGCCGGATTGCTCTTCCAGGTCGTCAACTGCTTTATTCTGATCCAGATTGTAACTCATTACAAACCAACAAAAACTCCACTGAGACTGAAAGCTGAATAAAACCCAAATGTATTCAAAGTGGAAGAAATTTTGTCTTTGAAACTTCAAAGGATGCTCTTTCAGATCATGCACTGTGGATCCATGTAGACCAAAGTTTAATCTCCCCAGACTTTAATTACTTTCTCTAATAATTTAAATCACTTTAGCAAAGAACACTACGTTTTCTGAGCGACAAAGGCTTAGGTGGATTTTCAGTTTTTCTGAGTTAAACCTTTGGATTATATGCTCACCACTGCCGGTCAAAACACTTAAATCCACAGTGTATGACACGTAGCAGAAACTGACTGTTGCCCAGGTTTTTTTGGATGGTAACTTTGAAGTCTGCTCCACCTGTGGCCAAGTCATTTGTCAAAAGTTTGCTGATGGGGCAAAACACCTGCTGCAGATCAGAGATCACAAACAGTCTTAATAAACAGCTCTGGGTCAAAGTATTTAACACACCCCTCGGGGATTTTTTTCTTTTTTCTGGGGTGGCATTTTGACCTTGTGGTGACGGAAAGCATTTTCTAACTCCAGAGGGAGAAATAATCCAATTGTATGCTGCTAGGAATCGAGAAGCCTTCAGTCTGAGTGTCTCACTTTCATGTTGACATTATTGTTGGTACTTTCAGCACTTGAACTATGGATTAGATTGCACCGAGGAGAATTACCGTTACAAAATCTGTCCTAAATTGTGTCGTGTTTTTTGTCCTGACCGGTGTAAATTGAGGCTGACCTGCACATTAATCTGACAGGTAGGAGATAGTTTCTTGGTTTGAGGGAGAATATGTTAAATAGTTCTACTGTTAGAAACGGTAAACAAATGCACTGTTGTCTTTATGTCTATTTTTTTTACAGTTTCACAAATGAATAAAATCAAATAAGTAATTTCTTGAGAATGCTGTTGTGTAATTTCAAATCCTTGGTTACGTCTCGGACCTAATGATTTCATCTGTGTTTACTATTAACACTGTAAGAAAACAGACAAGCACAGTATTTACAGTCTAGGCCACTAATGCATAATCTTCTGTCAAGGCAGCTGTTTGACTTGCAGCTTCTTTGGCTGCAGTTTGCAGCTGTGACCAGTAGGCAGGAGCATTTGCAAGCAGAAGGGACAGCTTGAGCAAACATCCTCATGTAACCCTCGCAGATTAATCAGTCAACTGGAGCATGAACACAACCTAAAACAAACAGAGCTGGCAGTGGCTCCATAATCTCACTGTACTCTCCCTCTAATCTCACATGGAAATTATTAGAGCATTCACTTTAGCCCTGTTGGTTCTGAGCGTGTCTGTTGATCCTGGGACTGATAGTGGAAGTGCATAATAATTATAATATACTGGATTCGCATTATGAATGCTTGAGATACACAGCAGGTTGGGTCAAATCGGTGGCTTTCCTTAGACATTTGCACATTGCTTTGCTTTTCTGTACGAGTATAAGGTCTTGGTTGTGTGTTGCATATGTGCATGCGTGTGAGTCATGGTCAGCTGCAGCCTGCATATCTAGTTTCTGAATCACCAGGATGCACCCAGTAACCTTTCAACTGGCTAGTTGCCCCCCAGGCACATGCATAAACCATCTTATTTTAAAACTGACGGCCACATTCAGGGGTTTATTTGCAAATTCTTAGGATTACAAATTAATACGAATATGTTTTTCCCCTATATTACAATTTCAGTTTTTTGTGGCAGCCAATCCAAATTACAGCTACTTGTCCCCTTAAGAGTTTCATCATACCATCATAGTTGGTGAACTATGGAGGCAAACTAAAACCAGTTCAGATGAACCTGATGTGTCTGGTGAGTGAAGGGTAACAGCACTCTGTAGGCACAACAGTCTAAAAAAGGTGGAAAGCACTGTTCTGCTGCTGGTGCGCTGATGTGGACAAATAAAGAAAACAAGGCGCTGCGTTCACTGTATATTTGTTAATTGTGCTCAGGAAGCAAGAAGTGGGAAGGTTGAGGGGGTTGCGTGACTATGTCCCATATGCTAATGTGTATATGTGTGTTTAATGAAGTGTATGCATGTGTATGCAGATGCCTGTTTGTGCCAGACCCTGAAGAATTCTCCTCATTGTCACTGGGGGGGATGTATGCATGTATTTGTTCATCTGCCTTTATCTCTGTGTGTTTGAGAAAGATGGAGCAAGAGAGGGAGTGACCAGTTAGGCCAAATGGTGTGTGGAGCAGAGAACAGCAGGGTATGAACGGTCACGCAACCTTGTATGGTATAGGATTATAGGTTTTGATCTGCACGCACACACACACACCGTGGCTCACGGATCAGCTGTCAGCAAGCGTCAAACACGTTGGTTACACTACAGTTGCCTTAAAGCACTACTCCTTTTTTTTTTTTGCCCTTTTCCCAAATTGACTTCTGTTTTTTCTTCTCTCAAATTTATCTCACTTCCCTCTCTTTTTTTTCTCGTCCTCATCCTTTCCCCTTCCTGTACCGAACGAGCATTGTACAGATGGCGTGATCGAAGGTTGCGTGCATGCGAGTGAATATTAAACATTTAAAGTCAGCCTCAGCCGCTCCTCCTCCCTGTCATTGTCACAGCATCTGATATGAAGCTACAGTGAGACAAATGGCTCACTGAAATCTTGTAGCAGTATCAAACACTGCGTCACGAGTTACTTGTTACTCGTCATGAAGAGGACTTTATGCCTGAATGTGATTCCTGTTATGCAGTTTGATCCCTGCGAGACGAGAGCAGAATGCTTTATCGTTCAGAGTATTTCTAACTATTTAATTAAGGCTGTTTCCATTATTCTGTTTACAATTTAGTGTCAACAGTCTGAGTGCAAGTGGATATCTTAACATGCAGTGCGTGCATGATCTGCAAAGATTACCTGGAGTTTTGTGGTAATAGTATTGTGAGTAAAAGCCTCCTCAGTACTTTTGACGTAATATGCTTAAGCAGGCTTTGCGTGCAGTAAAAGTGGAGAGCAAAAGGGAGCATACATTTACAGGAAAGCAATCTTGAGAAAGACACTTGAGACTTTTTCAACATTATTATGCAGCACAGTCACCTCACTGCAAGATTGTCCTGGGTTTGAATCCAGTCTGGGGCCTCTCTGTGTGTAGTTTGCATGTTCTCCATGTGGGTTCTTTCCAGGTACTCCAGTGTCCTCCCACAATTCGAAGGCATGCAGTTAGTGGGGTTGGATTAACTGGTGATTCTAAATTGCCCATAGGTGTGAGTGGTTGTCTGTATCTATGTGTTAGCCTTGCGACAGGCTGGTGACCAGTTCAGATTGTGTACCCTGCCTCTTGACCTGTGGTAGCTGGGATAGGCTCCAGCCCTTCTCTGACCCTCAGTTGGATTAATGGAAGAGAATGGAGGATAATTATGGTCTTGAAGAGCATAAATGCTCATCTGTCACAGGTGACCCCCGACTGTCATCCATCAACTGTGAACACCAAAAACCTTCAGTGACGGAATAAAGGACTGAATGAAGAAAACATCAAACCAGTTGCTTGAAATGCTGTGAGAGCACAGGCATCTTGGAGGAGTATGATCATCAGTGCCATTTGGGAAGGTTCTTAGAAAAAGAAGAAGAAGATTAAAAACTAGAAAGTGCATTTTCTGAAGAAACTGCAGTGTGAATGCTTGAATCTGAATGTATGCACTGAAATGAATTAAATACAGAATTTAAGTTAAAAATTTTGAATGAGATAAAAAAAAAAACGAATTTAACCTGAAAACAAAAGTGCTGAACTGCTAAAAGCTGAAGGTTACACAGAAGAAGAAGTTGGAAAAAAACTGAAAATGTTTTAAATGTAAATTAGAAAACCCTAAGAAATGAGAAAAGAACATTTAGAGTCAGAAAACATCTGAATGAATATTAAAAGGTCATATTCTTTGAATCACTGAATGACTCAAATGTGATCCCTCCACTTTGATCCACACAGTTTAAAAAGTTTAAATGCCTGAGCTTTGAAAGATACGGTGTTGGAAAGAGAACAATAATGGCGACAATTTGAGGGTAAAATGATGGCTGTAACACTGTGGACACAGCAGCAGTTGAAAGAGAAGTGCTTAAGATGAATCTTGGTACAGTGGCAGGCAGAGCTCGTTAAGCAGGCAGGTGTGAGCCTGGTTGCTATAGTGACCGCACCCAATGGCTCCATACACACGTACACAGACATGCGCCTCACTTTTGCTGCTTAAAATGAACAGAAAAGTCAGGCCGAAACAAATCGTTCCCAAATGAAAAGTAAAAGTCGTATTGACAAAATTCTTTCACCGTGAGCGACAGCAATGTCTAGTCTACCAAATTCTCAGTTTTCATGCCTGTGGAGTTTATTATATGGGCGTGGTGACAGTGGAAAGACACCATGCTCTTCTGATTTTCAAACGAACCTTCTGAGACATTTTAACATTAGAGTCTATGGAAGAGTTGGAGGGAGGAGGCTGTGCATTGGTGACATTTACGAAAGAACCATAACACCTAGGACAATAGTAAACACATTGGATGAAAGAGGACAGCGATGGCTACGTTTTGAGGGTAAAATCATACCTGTAGAGCAAACGCTGCGGACACAGCAGCAGTTTTAAAAAAGATTTTAAGATTAATTTTTTTGCTCCTCTCACTCTAGCAGTTGAGCTGTCTCACTCTAGCCCCAACATTCCGTCCCATACACACCCATTATAAACTCTGAAACGGGTGAAAAAACATCATGAAACTTAAACTGGAACTGAAGAAAAAGTATAATAGATATTGAAAAGATAAATACAAGTTGAATAGTTGAATGTCTTGTCTTCGTTTTAAAGTTTGAATGGTGGCTCTATGTCAATGTATGTGGAAGTAGATACAGTTTAAAGAGGATGAAGTTGAATGAGAATTTGAAGGGTCTCCCCATTGAAATACATTATAAATTTTTGTTGAAAAAAGTTGAATAAAATTAAAAATATAAATGTTAAAAATGAGAAAAATAGAAGCAATGTTGTCCAAAAGAATAGGAATCTAACGGTGTTTGAATGGTTTTTCTAAGTTGAACGGTTTTGAAGGAGTTGGCTTTCAAAAAACGTA